GAGGTGGCGTATTGATCATTTTATGATCTCTGGGACAAGATACCCAATGCCCAAAACTTGAAGATGGAGAGGTTTATTTTAGCTCACGGTTTTGAGGGTTCACTCCATGGCTGGCTTGCTCTGAAGGGAAAATAGCATGGTAGAAGAGTATAGTGTAGAAACCAGGAAGAAGCAAAGGAGGGAAGACTTGGGGGCAATAATACAGCCTCCCAGGTCACACTTCCAGACATCCATTTTTCTGAGTAGGTGCCACCTCTAAGCGCATAAAACTTTTAGGAGACATTTAGATCTAAGTTGTAACAAGTAGGATGTTAACAATTACAGGATAATTTGCTCATGCGTTCCTGTCCCAAGTTAACAAATTTTTTCAATTAATATGGTTCCGTATGTTCAATTAATAAATGTGACCAAAGTTAACAATGAATGTTCAAATTTAAAAAAAATTATTACAGTAAAAGGCACACGGTCATTAACCACCCTCGAGAGACTCTCCCTTTCTTTGAACACATGTACCCCATTATTCCTGCCACTTTTTGAAGCCATTCCTGCAGCTGTCCTTCGTGAGGTATAGTAAACAGTTTGGTGAATGCTGCTGCAAGTGCCATCCAAAGGAACGGCAGCCTCATAAAAACAGTACAGTGTGTCCTCATCTACCCTATTGATCAGATTTGGCACTTGGCAACCTCTTGCTCTTCCCCAAAGTCAAACATTTTGAATCAATTCAGGACATCAAGGCAGCCATGACAACTCAGCCAAAGACACTCATGAAAGACTTCCGAAACAGCTTTAGAAAGTAGTAAGAGTGATAGGATAAGTGTATTTGAAGTGAGGGTGAGTATCTTGAGGGGGATTAATGGCAATATATATATTTTTTACTATAATAAAATTTTAAAAATTATTTAACATTCACGGTATTATCACACCCTGTAGAATAAAAAGAGCTATGCATTGTATACATTAAAAAGTCATATCAAAACTACCTTTCACCCTTTCCAGCATCCAGACTGTGAACTAAGTGAGCTCACAGCCTTAGGAAGCCACTTCCTCTTTTGGGATAAGAAAGTGACAGGAACAGCAGCTGTCAAGTACTTCAAAGGGAAGGTGGAGATAAGGCTCCGAGGTGTCTCAAAGGGCACCAGTCTGTCATCAGGGGAGGCCAAGGACCTGCAGGTGCTAATTGATTCTCAGCAGTGAGAAAGGTGGAAGACTGGGCTTCTGGGGTAACATGACATTTTTTTCCCTTGGGGGAAGCAGAAATTCCTTGCTCTTTTCCAAGACCAAGGAAGCTAAATTACACTGCCCATTTTCATTAGAGCTTTTTGAAGAAATACTTTGCTGCAGAGTTTCTTGTACTCTGATTTATTGGGGCACCCACACGTTAGCAGGCCCACGAGTGGAATAGAGCTACATGAGCACACGTGATGAGAGAAAAGTGCCAAAGAAGCATCCCGTGTTGTGTTGTTACAATCTTTGTTGCTACACAAAAATGTTCCTGTGGACCCCCTTTCCCAGAGCTGATTTAATTTTTTCTTGTGGCAGAGTAATTCCTTTCTTTATCATTGTTTGGACAGCATGGTGAAAATAAGTCAAACTATTGACTTGGCCATATTAATGTTATTCTCATATTTCTTCCCTGAAGGCGAAGAGTTTTTTTGTTTATAATCCACTTGAGTAATTTTAAGAAATTACTTCACTTTCTATTTATTTTAATATATTCTAATGTCCTCCTTTGCCATTTAAGAAAGTAATTTATTTACAGACAAGACTGGTTTGCGAGGAGCTCTTTTGCTAGAGGAAAAATGTTCCATAGGCTGTAAATTAAGACAATCAAATGTGCTGTTTCTCAGAGATGAATCTGAGGATTTTTAATGTTTGGGAGACTTTATAGAGAACTTTCAAGACCCTGCAAACTATTTATTCCATTTACCTCTATTTTTAGAGTAAGAAGAGTGAAGACACGTCTATAAAAAATGAAATGAGATTCTTGAGAATTAGATGTCAGTGGTTCAGGAGCGTGTGCTTGCCGGTCACATGTTCAGGCACTGAGGCTGGGGCCCTTGGCTGCAGTTCAAGCCAGCATGGCCTGGAGCCAGAATGATGAGGGGCACGAGCCATTTGCACTTTGTACTGCCTGAAAAGTGCTGATAGATTCTGACACATGCTCATGTCGTCAATATTGCTAGGTACATGGAGGAATAGTTTGAAACTATAGAATATAAAAACAACACAATAATAAACACAATCTAACTGTACAGCCTGTGTAAAAAACTACAGCTCAACAACAAAAAGACCAACAACCCAATGAAAAGATGAATAAAGGATCTGAGTAAACATTCTCCAAAGAGGTTGGCCAGAAGCAAATTGAAAATATGCTCAAGGCAGGCATGGTGGTACACGCCTGTAATCCCAGCACTCAGGAGGCTGAGGCAGGAGGATCGCTGTGAGTTCGAGACCAGCCTGGGCTACATAGTGAGTTCCAGGTCAGTCTCATCTACATAGCGAGACCCTGTCTCAAAA